GAATTCATTATCTGTTTAGCATTAACTCTACATTAATAGACATTAGTAAGCAGTTTATAAATCCAGCTACAAATGATCTACTGTTGACTTATAAGCACATTTATAATGCGCTTAATAACTGTTCTTTTATACTTTATTGCTTATTAATTGTTTATTACTGAATTAAGTATTGTATTTACAAACCTATTATTTAGGGATAGTTAGCTGTTTTTAGGATAATTCAAAAGGAGTTAGTAAATGATTAATAAACTATTCAAATTAACATTTATAATTCTTATTATTCAGGCATAAATTAATAGTTAATTTGTACTTTAATAAAATATTTATTACAGCATATTCATCCAGTTTTGTGACTTAATCTAAAGTAAGGACTATGCTTTATAAATCCATTATAAATGACAATTTAAGGCTCACAATTATTTTCTAAAGAGGAAAAAAAAGAAAAAATACTATTAATTTCTTATTAATTTAAAGTTACACAAATGAAACTGCACCAAATGGAAAATGACTCTTTGCAATCTTAACTAAAATAAAATTATTGTTTAGTTTAACCAGTACTAAATAACTTTGGAATGTTGTATCATAATATATTGTTAAATTATTATATTGTTGTTGTTTTATCTAGTTTTATTTAATTGTATTTATTTCTAATTGCATTTTAACACTCCTGTTATTATCATACCAAGCCTTTAATAGTCATTGATAGGGGGTTTATAAAGCATAAACAGTCCTCACTTTGGATTAGGTCACAAAACTGGATGAAGTCGAGTTAATAAAGCATTTATTATCATACAAATAACTATTAGTATAACTGCATGAAGTTGAGTTAATAAAGCATTTATTAACAAACATAGTAACCATTACTATATGCCTGAATAGTTAAATAAATGTTGGTTTGAATAGTTTATTATTTATTAATTGTTTACTAACTCATTCTGAGTGATTCTAAAAGCCACCCAACTACTCTTGAATAAAATTGGTTTGTAAATAATCCAATACTTAATTTGATGAAATACTTAATACTTAATGTCATACTTAATTTGTAAGAAAATACAATTATGATACATTTTAAATGTGCTTATAAGTCAACCGTACATCATTTGTAGCTGTATTTATAAACCTCTTACAAATGTCTGCTTAGATAGAGTTAATGCTTAACAGATAATGAATTAACTATTTGTTAATGTTAAACAGAAGGTTCATAGTGTGTAGTTATTATACAGTGGTACCAATATGTCTTGATAATCAAGAACTGTGGTGTTAGCATGATGCTGAACTGGTACTAATGGACCCAAAGTGTGCCAAAAAAACATCCCCCACACCATTACGCCAGCAGCCTGAACCATTGATACAAGGCAGGATAGATCCATGCTTTCATGTTGTTGATGCCAAATTCTTACGCTACCATCCGAATGTCGCAGCAGAAATCGAGGCTCATCTGACCAGGCAACATTTCTACAATCTTTTTTGTCCAATTTTGGTGAGCCTGTGTGAATTGTAGCCGAAGTTTTTTTGTTCTTAGCTGAAAGGAGTGGCACCCGGTGTGGTCTTCTGCTGCTGTAACCCATCCACCTCAAGGTTGGACATGTTGTGCACTCAGAAATGCTCTTCTGCATAGCTTGGTGTTAATGAGTGATTATTTTAGTCACTGTTGCCTTTCTATCAGCTGTAACCAGTCTGGCCCTTCTCCTCTGACCTCTGGCATTAAACAAGGCTTTTGCGCCTACAGAACTGACGCTCACTGGCAATTTTCTCTTTTTCGAAACATTCTCTGTAAATCCTAGAGATATCTCAGTAGATCAGCAGTTTCTGAAATACTCAGACCAGCCGGTCTGGCACAAACAACCATGCCACATTTGAAGTCACTTAAATCACTTTTCTTCCCTATTCTGATGCTCAGTTTGAACTGCAGCAGATCGTCTTGATCATGTATACATGCCTAAATGCTTTGGGTTGCTGCCATGTGATTGGCTGATTAGAAATTTGCGTTATTGAGCAGTTCGACAGGTGTACCTAATAAAGTGGCTGGTGAGTTTGTTATGCTCAACAAAACAAAGAATTTCTGCTTCAACTATACTTTTTTTGAAACTAATCTAAATAGAAACCAACATAAGAACCTACAGTATATGATACACAAATTTGGTACATCCATATGACATCATGTGTATTGGGAAAACAATGCGCTAAGTTGACCAATCAGACTCAAGTAACTCAATGCTAGATATAACTTAATGCCAGATCAGTTATGCATTCTTCACTTTTGTTGTTTCTTCCCTAGAAGAGAAAAAGAGACGAGAACAGGAGGATCAGATGTACAGGGAACGACTGCGCACACTCTTTATTATCGCTGTTATCATGAGCTTACTCAACTCTATTAACACCAGTGGCGGTAACATATCCTGGAACGATTTTGTGAATGAAATGTTGGCCAAAGGGGAGGTGTCGCGAGTACAGGTGGTCCCAGAGAGTGACATTGTGGAGATCTACCTTCACCCTGGAGCTGTCATCTTCGGCAGACCGGTGTGTCTCCCCCTGTACATTTAGTCCCTTGTGCAATTTTAAAATAATTGTCGTTGTACGCTATTATTAATATCTCATTGTCTGTTGTAGAGACTTGCCCTGATGTATCGAATGCAGGTGGCCAACATTGACAAGTTTGAGGAGAAGCTTAGAGCGGCGGAGGAAGAGCTGAATATAGATGCCAAAGACAGAATACCAGTGACCTACAAGCGCACAGGCTTCTTTGGGAAGTGAGTAATTTGTACTTTTTCAAAGAGCATGCAAACGTGGCAAGCTAAAAGTGGCATAACAAAATATAACCCTTTATACTTAATATAACAATTTATTTTCCTCCACAGTGCCCTTTATGCTCTTGGCATGGCTGCCATTGGGGTTGCAATCCTCTGGTACATCTTCCGATTAGCAGGAATGGGTGGGAGAGACGGAGGCTTTAGTGCCTTTGTAAGTCAAGATTACCATTTACATTACTTTTGGGTCTTTGGATCAGAACCAGGGGTCGGGGCCCAGTTGGGGGCTTTTGAAAACTTCCAAGGGGCTCTCACACTGAGATAAGATTACTTGGATCAATATGTTATTAGGGCATTAAATGAAGACAGTTGGGATCTAAATAAAACAATCTGTTAACTGATATCGTATTTCTTAAATTCCCTCAATAACGGTAATATTTTAATTATACAGTAAAATGTAATTATACTGTAAAATGTACAATAAACTAAAAAAAGCGCTAAGTTTACAGTAAACTACTATATTTTATTTTATTTTATACAATGTTAATACACAAAATTTTGAATTATTAGCATATACATTGTGAAACTTTTTGTAATAAAGACAAACCCCATTAAAACCAAATGATGAGGAGAAAGTCGTTTCATAGCTCATCACAAAAAACTTTTACACAGGCAGTGGATATTATTTTTAATAGTAGTATATAAAAGTTGCTCAATATCATTAATTTATCTATTAAACACCAATATGGTAACAAATGACACTGAAGTCATGTGATGAACGTTCATTTTTAGCATTAGATAAAGTGGAAAATGCTAAATAAACATAACTAATAATGAAAAAAAGCTATAAAAAGACATAGTGGTTTCAAAAAGTTATGCAGGGAATTCTGGGAATGTTATTTAAAATAAATATGATTAAAACTTGCCTAACTTAACAGTTAACAGGTTTTTACTGTAGCATTTTTACAGCTTTTTGTAACAGTAGATTGTAGAGTTAAATAGATGAAACTTTACTACTGTAATCGCAAATCAACATTATTGACAGTGTGTAATGTATAACATTTGTAAACCATGTTAACGACCAAATATCCCCACAAAAGTCCTATAAAAAGCAGTTTTGTGATAATTATAGCAGATAAAGTAGAATACACACACACACACACACAAACACATACAGAAAGAGAGAGAGAGAGCGTGTAATGCATTTTAAAGAGATTACAATCTGATTGTATTTTGATGTAAAATCATCTGCCTCTTCCACCAGAATCAGTTGAAAATGGCTAAATTCACCATTGTTGATGGGAAGTCTGGGAAAGGTGTTAGCTTCAAAGATGTGGCAGGAATGCGCGAGGCCAAGATGGAAGTCAAAGAGTTTGTGGATTATCTCAAGGTAAGAAAGTCCAAAACATGATTAGACTGAGTCGAGTAGGAATGAAATATTTCAGTTGCATGCTTAAACCTTTCCTGGTGTATTTAAAAGGTCATAAAGCAACAGCATTTTAATTTTTCAACACAAGTCGTTAGTGTAATATTTTTGACATGTTCATTTAAACAATACAGAATAATAACTAAGGAATTATTGGCCTCTCACCTCTTTTGTTCATGTATACTAAAGATTGTCTATACAGCAGGGCTGCTCATGAAGATCTACCTTCCGGCAAAGTTCAGCTCCAAACCTCATTAAACACACCTGAACCAATTATTAGGAACTGAGCAGCACTTGATAGTTACAGGCAGGTGTGTTTGATATGGGTTGCAGCTGAAATCTGCAAAAAGGTCGATCTCCAGGAACAGGGTTGAGCTCCCCTGGTGTACAGGAACTGTCATATCATAAAATACGCCTATGATTCAGTGATTGTTAGGCCCAAACGGAATCTGTGCCTGTGCGCACAGAAATCCGCAGATTTTTAGTTATTTACTCTATGTATTTACTTGTGTAAATTTTTTAATTCAGTTTTTAAATTAATTTCACTAATATTATTGTGAAATAATAACAGTAATATTAAAATGCGCTTATGATTTATTTACAAGACAGTTTGTAAAGTTATGTTTTCTGTCTTTTAGTAGCTATATTATATAGAAGACTTGTTTTGTTTACCTGATAAGTGGATGTAATAGGATTTGCACAGTAAAGATTATATAAATGTTAAAAATGTATTATTCTTGTTTTTAGTTTTGAAACTCCTAATCGTGAGTCTCCTCCACAATCAGGATTTGGGACATGGCCCTGTTGTGGAAGAATTTACTTCCTGATGTGATTGATTTTCTATCCAGTTGAATATAAATAAAGCAAAAGACATGGAGTTAGATTACAGGAAGGCTTTTCCTATCCCCAGTATAACAACTATTAAGGGGTTTGAACATTGAAATTGTTGACAATAAATATCGAGGGGTTGATCTTAGAGAAACGTTTTGAGTTTGTACCTCTATGATGACACTGTTTTGGAAAGATGTGCACTTTTGTTCCTTTGTATTCCAGGGATTTCTCTTTAGCCAACTTCATGATAAATTTTCCATATGCTAGTGATGTAATATGATGGTAAATACTCTCAGCCGATCATCTTTCATTCTTCGCTGCGCTCTGTGTGCTCTATATACCTGTACTGGTTTAATGAAGTTTTCTGGGCCCAGCAATTTTGGGAGTAGTTCCGCGATGAATTTGGTGGGTCTCCCGCTTTCTTCTTTTTTAGAAATTCTCACAAGTCGAATGTAATTGCGCCTGGAGCGGGATTCGAGATCATCACTTTTTTTCCTGAGTCGTTTCCATTCGTCCACCAATTCTGCACACTGCTTTTGTACTGCTGAAAGGCGTACGTCGTAGTCTGTGCAAGTCTCTTTAATTGACTAAATGTTTTCTGTGAGACTTATCAGCATCATACACAATTCTGCAATCATTTGTGCAAAGGCTTCAATTTTTCGATTAACTGAGGCATTTAAAGCTGTTATAGCGTGCATAATGTCTTGATTGTTTGAAGAAGTTGTGCCACCTTTATTGACAGCTTGCCTCGTCTCCTCTGTGTGACCAGCTTTGCCGTGGTCGTCGTCGACCTCTTCTTGTAATCTGCCCTCTTTTTTCAAGTTTTTTGGCATTATGAAGGCTTATGGTGTTCTTGAATTTCTTGAGAGCTATTTTGACGATTAATTATTACATCTGATGATCAATTATTTAAAATTATTTGGAGGATTGCTGGAGCTTAGACGCAAGCAACCTTCTCCATGTGCTCCGGAACCGAAAGTCATGACAATGTTTTACAAACAATTTATTAAATTCTTCATTGTAGCTTGGTACGGTAGTTCGAGTCTGTCAAGTAAGACTGGTTGAGTAGCCTTGTGAAGATGGCAGGCAAGATCCTGGGTTTTAACCAAACTGGTCCAATGGTAATTTACCGTAATTATGTTTTATAGAGAGCTCAGGGTTATGTACCCCGGATCACCCATTGTATTCGGTGTTTCCATCAGGACAACATTTTAGAGTTTCTATTTGCAGGACAAACAGATTTAGAATTTTTCATTAAATTTTTCATTAAATGAGTCCAGCGGGGAGGGAGATGCCTCTAAAAATGGTGCATCATGTCTTGTGGAAATAGTTTGGTAATGTGTAAATGTAACTTTGCCTCTGTTAAGGCACATTTCTGCAATTTTAGTTTCCCTAAATTAGATAAGTAGCGTCTGAGTCTGTCTTTATAAAAAAATCATCTGCAAAAACTTAATGTAATCATAAATAGTGGTGTGTAATTTTGTTTTGGAGCTGCTTGTAATTACACCTAATCATTAAGGTAACGTTCATTTATTCATTCTCTTTTTGGCTTAGTCCCTTTATTAATCTGGGGTCACCACAGCGGAATGACCCGCCAACTTATCCAGCATATGTTTTATGCAAAGGTAACATGTAAATAAATAGTGTAAAATAAAGTGTTTTACAATAAGTTTTCTCTTTAAAGTCTTAGTCACATGGCAGAGCAAAAGAAAGCTTTATTATATCATCTATGGTTCAGCTGTAGTAGACATTTAAAGGAACTCAATCGCCCCCTTGAGCATTTTTGTTGTTACTGCAACAGTAATGATGCATTGCACGGTGCCAAATTTTACAGCCTGTTTACACCAAGGCAATAAACCATAGAAGTATTGTTTTAGTTCACACCTGCAGTTTGGCTTGTCTTTGTTTGTGTGGGCTGGACTCAAAGAGTCCAAAGGCTTTTGTTATGGATATTTTATTCAATTAAATTCAATTAATCTATATTTCTATAGCGCTTTTACTATGTAGATTCAAAGCAGCTTCACATAGAAGATTATAGTGAATTGAAACCGTGTCAGTCCAGTTTTCAGAGTTGAAGTTCAGTTCAGTGTGGTTTAATATTCACTGCTGAGACCCCAAACACTAAAGAGCAAATCCATTGATGCGCAGCTCTACAAGTCCCAAACCATGCAAGCCTAACCAGTGGCGACAGCGGCGATTTAAAAAAAAAAAAAAAAAAAAAAAAAAAACCTTCACTAATTGGCGAAAGTGAAGGATAAAACCTCCAGAGAAACCAGACTCAGTTGGGCACAACTATTTCTCCTATGGCCAAACGTCTTGTGCAGAGCTGCAGTCTAGGCGCCGGAGGCTGGAAAACACTGAATGTCAGTGAAGACTTGTTTATGACAGTACATACTACTTAGCAAAGGATGTTCATTTGGGAAATATTTGAAAAAGAACAAAATGCAGATGAGGGCTAATTCGACTTTTAACTGCATATATACTTTGAAGGTTTTTTATTTTATTATTAAAGTACATTGTGGCTAAATAATTAGATTTTGATATACCAGCAACATTTAAACCATTTACCAATATAAATGTTTGCTAGAATGTTGCTAATCTTGTTTAATAACTAACTTGGTTTCATGTGATTTATGTCTTGCGCTTCCAAATTTTCATTAAGGGTGCATAGAGCTCCTATTAAAGAAACTGTAGAAACACTCTTTCTATATGCTTTACTTAAACTCATCTTGCAAAGACTCAATAGGAAAAATCTACCACAAATTATGTTGCGCTACTTGTTTCCCTCAACCTTAAAGTATCTCTTTTTGACAAATCATCTTTAATATTTATCACAGTATTGTTATGTCTAATGTAAAAATACATGTATACCCTGTCTTAGATTATGTTTATAGTATATGCGTAGTTACTAAAGTTAGATTACCGATCTGTTATGTCAGTTATGTATAGTTTAAAATACCTTTTACATCCAAAATTGTGTTCATAATGTTTGTTTATTAATGTGGCACCGTGGTCTTGCGAGAAATGAAAAAAAAAAATTAACATTTTAACAGTAGACATGACCTGGTTGTACATACGAGATGTAGAATCGGACACTCAAGACTTACACACGCATATTTTTTGAAAAGGAAAGAAAAACCTATTTGTGACTTGTGTAAGAATATTTAGACGATAAAACATATTTTATAGAATGTGTATTTTTAAATTATATTTATAGAACATTTTTATTCTGGAAACATTTTAAGTGAAATGTTTGAAAAGGTGCCTTCTACAGCAATTTTGGAGTATTTATTCATTCATTTATTTTCTTCTCAGCTTAGTCCCTTTATTAATCCGGGATCGCCACAGCGGAATGAACCGCCAACTTATCCAGCACATTTTTAATGCTGCTTACCCTTTCAGGCGGAACCCATCTTTGGGAAATATTCACACACACACACACACACACACACACACACACACACACACACACACACACACACACACACACACACACACACACACACACTACGGACAATTTAGCCTACCCAATTCACCTGTACCGCATGTCTTGTGGGGGAAACTGGAGCACTCAGAGGAAGCCCACGCGGACGCAGAGAGAACAGCAAAATCCACACAGAAACGCCAACTGACTCAGCCGAGGCTTTAACCTCAGCTAAGTCAGTTGCTCTACCTACTTCGCCACTGTGTCGCCTAGACTATTTATCTTTAATCAAACTAAAAGATTGTATATGACTCTTTTTGTTTTTGAAAAATGTGGATCAAATGTGCCGACTGCCATTAGAATTTTAAAAACCGGGTCATAAGTATGTATAGGTTTTTAAATAGAGGTTTTTAATGTGATATAACTGATGACATGAAATGTATTTGTGTTGTTTTTTCCTGTGATATGTGTAATGTGAACGCTGATTTGTTTGTGTGGTAAAGATAAACTCCCACTTGTGGACAGTAAAGAAAGTAAAGATATTTTGATGCTGGTAAAGGTGCTACCTTTTAAAGTTATCGTTATGAACAGGCCTTTTTTTTTTCATTTTGAAGAATCCAGACCGATACCTTCAGCTTGGGGCGAAGGTTCCGAAAGGCTCTCTGCTTCTGGGACCTCCTGGCTGTGGGAAGACTCTGCTTGCTAAGGCTGTGGCAACGGAGGCTCAGGTGCCCTTTCTGGCTATGGCAGGTTCAGAGTTTGTAGAGGTGATTGGAGGTAAATATTTATTTGTTTGTTTTCTTTTTTTAACAGGGGCAATACACTTGACATTGTTATATAAAGTCAACTGATGCTGTGTAAATAGGGCATATAACATTAAGCTAATTCACAGCCCTCGCCCCTGGTTAGGGTGTACACTCAAACTACTCATTTAAATTAGTCGAGACAACACACTTCTTTAGTTTGTTTTGACACAACTTAATTGTTTTAAGGTAAATCCACTTAAATTTGTAAAAATAAGTTAACATAATTCCTTCAGGTGGTGCAAACACAAATCGGTTGTGTGGATGCCAGCATTTTTTTTACAGTTACTTAAATAAATGACTTCAACTTCTTACTCCTAAAAGAATTACATTTTTCCAACTTTATTATTGAAGACTATAATAAATTAAGTGAAAGCTAATTAATTCATATAGTTGTAAATTAAGTTTTCACTTTTTACAGTGCGTACATAAAAGTTAAAATTAAAAATTATTATAAACATGTACCGTATGTACAGAGCTGCAAACAAAAAATGTTAGTCAATCTGCATACTAAAAGAAAATGTAAACTTAACCAACCTGGGGTGCGTTTCCCAAACAACGACGTAACTTGCGGCTGAACTATCATATGACGATACATCATTTGAGAAAATAATGACAAGTGTTTCCCAAAACCCGTAGTTTCTCTGTAGCAGATCTATCGTTTCAACCACAGTAGTTATAAGGTAAGATGCCCATAATGATGCTCTAACTGGGGTGGAGTAACAACTTCTTCTTTATAGAAGAACCCCATATTTTCTTTGTGCAAATTATATTTTTTACACGCATTTAACAAAAAAACCAACCTGCCCTCGCTTTCCTTATTAACTGAAATATATGTAAATGGCACATATAGGGCTTTTGTTTCCTTTACAAATACTATCGAGAACATTACATATTCTATTCTAAAACATAAAATCACTTACAAAAGCTAACACGTATTCTAATCTCATATATAAGTCATATAAATAAATAATAAGGCTATTTATGAAGAAATGAAATTTATTATTTATTAGGAAATAAAAAATCCTACTTTAATAATAATATTAATGATGATGATGACTCATTATTATTATTATTATTATTAAGTAGGATATTGTCTATTTATTTAAAAAAAATTTAAAAGTCTACTTTTACAATTTGACACATGTATACCACTGCCGAAATATTCTAAAAAACAGGCCCATGTCATATACAGTACAGCTACTGAATAAATAACCCACTATAAATTAAAAGAATTTATGTGTACTATGTTTTTTGTTTTCACAAGCTTTGGAGAAGTAACATAAATGCTGCTTTATAATAATAGGTCACCTATAGCTATCGTCATGAGCCACGGCTGTGTTAAAAATTAGATCAATGTTTTTAAAGTTCTATGCAAAATGAGCGCAAATGTAAACATGAAGATCGCTAAAACTGAACTTTAAAAATGCTTTGAAAGCAAATTACACCTAGAAGTGATGATTTTAATGCTTTAAAATAAATCCAAGTTTAAATGTTAGGATGTTCTAGAGCGGGGGTGGCCAACCCTGTTCCTGGAGAGCCACCTTCCTACAGATTTCAATTGCTACCCATATCAAACACACCTGAACCAATCAATTAGGACCTTAAAACCACGTGATAATTACAGGCAGGTGTGTTTGATATGGGTTGCAACTGAAATCTGTAGTAAGGTGGCTCTCCAGGAACAGGCTTGCCCATCCCTGTTCTAGAGGAATCGGGCATAGGGGGATAACTGGGAATAGAACACAACCAGGAACTCTGGAGCTGTTTCTATCTACAGCTCCAGAGGTGAAGTTGCAAGCATAGAAGTTTGCGAAGCAGTTTGCGAATGTTTATTGGAACGACGAAGTTGGGTAACACCAAATTAACAACCTATGTCTGTAATGACACGACTTGCGACCTTAGTTGGCTAAGGATGGTTTTCGGAAACACACCCCTGAATGAATCATATTAGTGTTCATATTGCTGTAAAGATTTCAGCCATTGTTTCAGCTTAAAAAAAAAAACAAAAACATAGAAAATAATGGCAGTTCTGATCGTAACTTTAAATCAGAGCTGCTCAACTTTGTTCCTGGGGATCTACCTTCCGTAAGTTCAGCTCCAACCTTGATCAAACACACCTGAACCAATTAATAGGACCTGAAGCAGCACTTGATAATTACAGGCAGGTGTGTTTGATATGGGTTGCAACTGAAATCTGCTGGAAGGTCGATCTCCAGTAACAGGGGTGAGCACCCCTGCTTTACATCAACAGACATGGCTGTCTATAGATGTCAACATTTCATTGAAAAGGATGACTGTGATCGACAGGGGTTCTACATCTGCAAAGAAACTCATTAATATGCTCATTAATGTGCTAAAACTCATTAATATACAGAGAAAAATATTCCGATGGCATAATCAGATGCTCGTATTTAAACCTGTAAAATCTCTTTGATCCCAGGCCTTGGAGCTGCAAGGGTGAGAAGTCTTTTTAAAGAGGCTCGTGCTCGAGCTCCTTGCATTGTGTACATCGATGAGATTGATGCCGTGGGGAAGAAACGCTCCACAAACATGTCTGGTTTCTCAAACACAGAGGAGGAGCAGACCCTAAACCAGCTACTTGTGGAGATGGATGGTAAGAACTACAGAAGTGCGACTAAATGATAATGCTGCTACTAGTCAACATTGGAAATACTAGATATATATATATACTTGTAATGTTTTTATTCCTTCCAAACACTGAGTTTTTAGTCTAGATCCAAATAATAAACACTTATTCAAGTTGACTTTTAATACTTAATTGTATCTACACTAATTGTGCATATTTTAATATTGTTCTTCTTGTTGTTTAATTGGTCTTGTTTTTATTATACAGAGTTCTTGAGTTGCCAGAAAGGCACCTTTAATAAAGTGTTATATTATTATTAATTACTCTCATACTTTTATTTATTTAATATTATTTATTTGATTTATTACATATTTCCTCTGCTGTTCAGGAATGGGTACAACAGATCATGTTATTGTCTTGGCTTCCACTAATCGGGCAGATATTCTGGACAACGCGCTCATGAGGCCAGGCAGGCTTGATAGGCACATATTCATAGACCTGCCAACACTTCAGGTAATCATGAATCAAAGTGCTTTTATGTTTCAACCCAAACATAAATAATTAGAGAACTTGTTTATGTATGTGACACTGGACCACACAAGCAATCTTTTGTCACATAGTTATATTTTATCATAGCTATATATATCAATAATACATTTTATAGGCCATGATGAAAGTTTATTCTTTAGTATATAGAAAAAGGTACAGATGCATGACAATTTCCCACAGTAAATGTATAAACTTATGGTTTGATTAGTTATATGAAAATAATTTGGGCAAATTTAAAGGCAAATTTCTCAACTAGGTTCTTTATTTTTGAATCCTCAGATTCCAGATGTTCAAATAGTTCTATCTCTGCCCAATATTGTCCTATTCTAGCAAACCACACATCAAGTTTTTTTTTGCACTTGAGTCTGAGTCATTTGATTTTGAGTATCTACCGATACCTGATCCGATACTTCTATAATACATAAAAAAAGAATAAAGAAGAGCGAAGAAACAGATCCAGGATCTTCCTTATTTTTTATTTAATTCACCTTATTTTAACATTCTACAACTGTTAACAAACAGAGCACTTTTGTGAGGTAGCTTGAATAATCAAGCAATAAATAACAACAATTCTTCACTTTTGGGCTTTATTGCAACAGTAAATAAAAAGAAAATATAAAAAATCACCTAAAAATACCCTGCAGGCAATCACAAGTTAACATATCTCACGGTTTACTATGGCAATGTTGTCATCATCAACTATATAATGCCTCCAGACTGCAGACTTACTCGCGCTTTTCACTTTTACATAAGCTGCTTCTGTGTTCTACTTTGCCTGCAGTTAACCAATAGCATCTCTGCAACAAAGTGATGTCATGCCGCACACGTTGCTGTTTCTGTGTGAATTTAAGAAAGAGGTCTAAATCTGTGCCACCGCATAACTATAAAAACTATAGATGTGTTAAAAAATAATGAGAATATATACATATATATTTCAGTCCTGATCAGGAGGTAACGTCCGATTCTGATAGAGTCTGAAAGCGTGTGATCAGGCCTGATTTCAGGTCACCTAATTGGATCTGGACAAATTTTCAAAAATTTTCTTTTATGACTTGTTTTTGTCTATAATTAAAGCTTTATTATAAATAGACCCAAATATTACCCTAAATGTCAGTAATAACTGTGCATCAATACAGCATGTTAAAATGATTTCTGAAATTTCATGTGACAAAAAATGAGAATAGTAGCTGCTAACAATTCAGCTTTGTCAACATGGGAATAAATTACATCTTTAAATATACAATAATTTAATAGAAACTGTATATATATATATTTTTTTTACTTCACAACAATGCTAATCTTTTTCAGATTTTTATTTCTTGCAATTTTGATCATATAAAGGCAGCTCTGGTTATTATAAAAGACATAAAAACATTATAGCGGATGTGGCATAAATCATGACGTAAGTGGCATCATTGAAAATTAACACACACTCAAAGCGTAATGGTCATTCTACACGTGTATTAGCTGTATATTACAGAGTCTATTAACTCTCTTTAATCAGGCTACTTGCTTTCAAATATGCATTTCTTGTGTTATAGGAGAGAAAGGAAATCTTTGAGCAGCACCTGAAAATCCTAAAGCTCACACAACCAGCAGACTTTTATTCTCTGCGCCTGGCTGAGTTGACACCAGGCTTCAGTGGTAAGTGAGAGTTTGACGTAATCCTGTAATCCATTAATACCATGTTCTGGCTGCCACAATACTATTTGTACATCGTTGTGTTTTTTCCAGGTGCTGACATTGCCAACATCTGTAATGAAGCTGCCCTTCATGCTGCCAGAGAGGGCTTCAAGTCCATCGACACCTTCAGCTTTGAATATGCTGTGGAAAGAGTCATTGCAGGTTTCTAGCTGCTAGATTAATGTGTGCTTTTGATTTGAAATATACAGTTGAGGTCACAATTATTAGCCCTCCTAATTTATTAACCCCCCTGTTTACACTCCAGAACAAAATCTTAAGACCGCCAGGGGGAAACATTACAGTTATACACATTTTGGAAGGGAAGATCATAATCTGATTTGTAGTATTTGAAGTACTGCTTTGAAATACCCAAAGAAGACACGGGTGCAAAAGCCAAAAAAACTGAGAATAAGCAATTTATTAAAAAAAGCATTTAAACTCAAATAGGCTGAAATCAGCTGATCAAAAGAATAGGACCAGAGGCCAAAAAACATGACAATGGATCTCAAATTGTCAAAAGTGACTCAGTAGTGACTAGTTCCTCCATTCTTGTTGATCACTTCAAACTATTTTTTCGGTATGCTTGATACAAGTGTTTCCAGGAGCCTGGGGGTAACATTGCTCCATGTGGTTAAGATGGCTTTAGGAAGGTCACCAACTGTCTGGATCTAGCGTTTAAAAAAAAAAAAAAATTACCGTTTTCGTAAACTTCCTTTGCCATTCATCCCCAAATGTTCTCAATGGGATTTAAATCAGAGGAGCATGCAGGATGGTCCAAAAGAGCAATGTTATTCTTATTGAAGAAGCGTTTTGTCAGGTGGGTGTTGTGAATTGCAGCATTGTCTTGTTAAAAGATCCAGTCATTGCTGCACAGATGAGGGCCTTCAGTCAAGAGGGATGCCCGCTGCAATATGTCTACTTAACCAGCAGCAGTTCCCGCCCCTGCACAATCTGAAGCTCAGTTTTACCATTAAAGTAAAAAGCACCCCAAATCATTATGGAGCCTCCACCACTGTACCGTGAAGAAGTCTCCTGTGGAATCTCCTTGTCGTGCCAGTAGTGTTGGAAGCCATCAGGACTATCCAGGTTAAATTTGTTTTCGTCAGAGAACTAAACTTTTTTCCACTTTTCAATGCCCCATGTTTGGTGCTCTCTTTCACATTCCAAACAGGCAAGTTTGTGGTGTGGGAGAAGACGTGGCCTTTGAGGACGTTTTTTTTGTTCTTTAAGCCCTTCTCTCGAAGATGTCATCTTATGGTTATTAGGCTGCAGTCAGCATCAGTAAGGGCCTTAATTTGGGTTGAAGATCTGCCTGTGTCTTCTCGGACAGCCTGCCTTATCCTCCGGCTCAGTGCGGGCTTAGTTTTTTTGGGTCTACCACTTGACTTTTTTGTCCCATAACGCTCAGGATCTTTTAAGAAATTAAAAATGACTGTCTTACTGTGTCCAACTTCAGCTGCAATGACGCGCAATGAGAGCCCTTGCTTGTGCAGCTCAACAATCCTGCCACGTTCAAAAGGAAAAAGTCTTTTGGCCTTTGCCATCTAGAGATCTTGAAAGTGTTACAGGCCGAAGGAAAAGCCAGTTTTGCACAGAATAAAACTTTTTAAGGGTCCGGTCCAGTCAGCTGATTCAAGCTTGTTTAAGTTTAAATGCAGTTTTCATTTAATTACCTACTCTCTGTTTTTTATGTGACGTATTTGTGTCTTCATTTGGCTTTTCAAAGCAGTACTTACAACCTAATTACGATACACCAGTGCAAAATGTGAATACTTGAAATTTTTTCCCGGTCTTAAGATTTTGTTCAGAAGTGTATTATTTCCCTAATTTCTGTTTAACGAATATATATTTTTCACATTTCTAAACATTAATTTAATAACTAATTTCTAATAACTGATTACTTTTGTCTTCACCATGGTGACAGTAGGTAATATTTTACTAGATATTTTCAAGATATTGGTATTTAGCTTAAGGTGACATTTAAAGGCTTAACTATACGTTAGGCAAATTATTGTATAATGATGGTATATATATGAAGAGTTTTGTTTTGTTTATCTTAACATTGTCAAACATTAAAAAAGCAATACATCATAAATCATATGGAACAGTATAACAGTATAGACAAAGTTTGATTAATAATATTAAGATTCTGAGTTATTTTTGGCCGGAACGTACACAACACAACATACCTTTTTATTTTTATTTTTAATTTAGTTTTTTGCAAAACGCTATTAATCCACCTTAGGCTATATTCTACTACAATAATGCCATTAAGAAAAGCTAGTACATCAGTTTTGGTTTATAAGTAAGATTAAGTTAGTTCGATAAACAACTTGTTACTTGTGAAGGAAGAGGGGACGGCAGCTCCTTTCACATCACTGCTGAAAATCAAACCTATATGATCAGATCAGGCAGAGCCGCAGTGTCAAAGTTCTTGTCTCTTTTGCACTAAGTCTGCAACACAAGCTCACCTCGCCCTGTCATATTTATTGAGTCATTTCACTATAATAGTAATAATATTAATAAAATGGCTTATAGAGTTTATTGGTTGTTGTTTAAAAACAAAACTGTTTATTATTCCATAGCAAACTGTGCCCTCTATGATACCTTATAATAAATCAACAACAAGAATTAATGTAGGGCTTTAGGCTATAAATAGGTGCAATTGCATAAATAAATCTTCAGATAGGCTACTCAGCTACTTGTAAGAAATTATTTAAAAAATAAACTTACAAAGGACACTTAGAAATGTCGCCTTGCAGACAGGTATCTTGTGATGGGGAGGAGCGCAAGAAAAAAGGCGCTCCCTGGCCTTCCTCTTGACATCAGCGGAAATTCGTTCCCTGCTGCATTTGTGTATTGTTGACAGAAGCAGGAGTATTTTATCCTGGTCCACTATTTATTTGTTTTTTGTTTTTTTTACATTTTTGTGAAGTTGAAGGCTTCATCTTCATCTGACAGTTTGCCGGCATGACACCGACCAATATGACTCGCACGATGACCACAGTTAATCTTCGGATGTTTTCCAACCCCTGAATGCCTTGCTCGTTTGTTTTTCTCCCTTTGATGATTTTCTTTAGATGCCTTCCTCAACAGCAGCTGGAATGACCGATCCAATCCTTCATCGAAATCCATGACATTAGCTTGACTCTGAAGCTTTGATTCTCTGACTGACAGACAGCTGTTGATCAGTGACGTAGCCTACGTGACTATCAGCTTGCCTACAGTATAAACAAAAATGTACATTCTTAAATCTTATGAATGGCAGCAATTCACACATAGATTAAGGTACATCTGAACAATGATTTCCAATTATAAAATACAAATGTCAAAAAATAGCTTTTATCGCAACCAAACTCTTCATATAATTTTTAAGGGGGCTAATAATATTGACCTTTAATGGTTTAAATTTTTTTTTCTTGCCAAAATAAAACAAATATGATTTTCTCAAGAAGAAAAAATATTATAGGAAATACTGTAAAAAAAAATGTCTTGCTCTGTTAAACATAGTTTGGGAAACATTTGAAGAAGTAAACCAAAATCACAGAAGGATCATTTTTTGAAGAATCAAGAATTTTGACAACTGCATGTTTGATTTTGTGTGACTTGTAGGGAGTGTGAAGAAGAGTAAAATCTTATCGAAGGAGGAGCAGAGGGTGGTAGCCTTCCATGAATCTGGTCATGCTCTAGTTGGATGGCTGCTAGAACACACAGAAGCTGTCATGAAGGTAAGCAGCACTGAGCCATGCTCCTTAAGAATACTGTAAAAATGCACCGTGCAATTGCATATGTATAAGGCAGCACAAAAGCCATACAAGAATCCAGATCCAAGTGTAAATGTGTATTATTATTATTATTATTATCATCATCATTTCCTTTATTTTAGACTCATAATCCATAACGAAAATAGCAAAAGTATCTTGGTAGTCTTTGATACTACATCAAAGTTCCAGCAGAACTCAAAAGCTGTCAGCAAGTGCATCAAATGCTCATTTAACAGATATAAATTCACTTTTGTTTCAGATGCCATAAGTTTTTATAACCTTTATAACCTAACAAGTTTTGATTTTTATTGTATGTTTATATATAGTATGCATTTTAAAACAGTAACTTATTAGTGTAAACAGGGCCTGGTCAGTGATGAATGACTTGCCGTTATGAGTGTTTAAATAAAAAAAAAATATATATATGTATTTATGAATATTGATACATACTAATGCATTGAGGGTCTTTGGATCTGTTCTCCAGGTATCAATAGCTCCCAGGACAAATGCTGCTTTGGGCTTTGCTCAGATCCTGCCGAGGGATCAGTTTTTGTTCACTAAAGAGCAGCTGTTTGAGAGGATGTGCATGGCATTGGGTGGACGAGCCTCTGAGGCCATCACCTTCAATAAGGTCACCACAGGTATGACATCTATACTCTGACATCTACACCAGGGATGTCCAGTCTCGGTCCTGGAGGGCCGGTGTCCTGCAAAGTTTATTTCCAACCCCAATCAGACACACCTGGGCTAGCTAATTAAGCTCTTACAAGGCATTCTAGAAACATCCTTGCAGGTGTGTTGAAGCAAGTTGGAGCTAAAATCTCCAGGACCGAGTTTGGACACCCCTGATCTACACACTTGCATAACACACTCTCAGGGAAAGAAATAGAACTGAGAGAAAGAATACTAACAGCATGAAGCAGAATGTAAACATCAAGAGGAATGATGCTCCAAATAATAAAGTTAAAATATATGTATATATTTTTTGTGATTTATGTTGTGATCTTTCACTAAATAACTAACAATTAGCTCTATTTTTAATTAATTAATACATTTGTATTGAATGCAAAGATTTTATAGAGCATTGCATTTGCAGAAATTCATTCATTCATTTTCTTTTTGGCTCAGTATGTTTATTAATCTGGGGTCGCCACAGCAGATTGAACTGCCAACTTATCCAGCATATGTTTTACCCTGCGGATGCCCTTCCAGCTGCAACCTATCACTGGGAAACATCCATACAATCCCATTTACACACATACATTATGGCCAATTTAGCTTACCCAATTTACCTATACCGCATGTGTTTAAACTTGTGGGGGAAACCCACGCAAACACAGGGAGAACATGCAAACTCCACACAGAAATGCCAACTGACCCAGACAAAGCTCAAACCAGCTACATTTTTGCTTTGAGGCGACAGTGCTACCTACTGGGCCACCGCACTGCTCTCTGCAGAAAATATAATAGAGTAATTAGCATACTGTAGATAAATACAGTTATTTACGATGATATTAATGGAGTCTAATGGTATCCAGGTACAGAAATAAAAGAATCAAATGTTCAATAAAGTTGTGTTGTCTGCATTGAGTACAAAATTAAATAAAAATATTTTTTTCTAAAGCTACAAAATGCAAATTCATATCCAAATGCTTCAAACTAACCTAAAATGCTTACACAGCTACAGGCCTTAAACACACAATTGATCAACTTCCACTTTTTATGGTTAAACTGAAACGACTCCACAATTGTACTGGGTCAACTATATAATTTGACTCAAAGGAAGTAGTTAACTGGGAACAATTGTGCACCTATTAGTAGAGGTTTTAGTTCGTACTTGCCAGTTCATACTTAACCGTAGATAACTAAAACTTCTCTCAGGTGCTCAGGACGACCTGCGGAAGGTGACCCGTGTAGCGTACTCCATGGTGAAGCAGTATGGGATGGTTGACAGTGTGGGTCAGGTGTCATTCCCTGACTCTGAGAATCAGAGTGGCATTGGACGAAGACCCTTCAGCCAAGGCCTCCAGCAGCAGATGGACCTCGTGAGTGTTTTTGCTCTGCTGGAGTGGTGAGGGTGACCTCCCTGTAATGTGATGTTGCAGAGTCTTTTCTAAACATTAAATATCAATAATCTTGTGTGTGTGTTTTCTTTCTTTCTTTCTTTCTTTTATTTGTTTCATTTTTCCCTTTCTTTTCTTTTGCTTCATTTTCTTCTCCCATTTTCTTTTACTTTTTTATTTTCTTTCTTTTTCTGCCTGTCTTTTCCTTTGTTTTTGTTTCTTTTTTCCTTTTGTCATTCTTTCTTTCTTTCTTTCTTTCTTTCTTTCTTTCTTTCTTTCTTTTTTTCTTTCTTTCTTTCTTTCTTTCTTTCTCCCCTGTTCAGGAAGCTAAGATGCTAATAGCAAAAGCCTACAGGCATACAGAGAAACTGCTTTTGGACAACAGAGACAAACTTATTTTGGTAAGATCTTCTGGCTCTTTTTTTATTTGTTTTTTTTTAAAGGGATAGTTCACCCAAAAATGAAAATTTGTTGTTATTTACTCACCTTTTACTTATTTCCAAATCTGATTGCCTCTTTTATTCTTTTGAACACAAAATAAAGTATTTTGGAGAAAGCTGGAAACATGTAACCATTGATTTACATAGTATTTGTTTTTCCTACTATGGAAGTCAAAGTTTAGAGGCTTTTAGCTTTCTCCAAAATATTTTCTTTAGTTTTCAAGAGATGAATGAAACTCAAATTTTTGGAAACACTTGAGGGAGAGAAAATAGAGAGTAAATATTAATTTTTAGTTGAGCTATTCCTTTTAAGAAGGAAGTCCTGTCATATAGAATATTCACATTTTCATTTTGATGAATCTGTACTTTTTTGACATCACTTAGCAGATTGCAAAGGAATTTATTTTAAATAAAATATATTGTAAAAATATTTTAATATGTTAAGGTGTCCATACTATATGGTTAGAGTTATAATTTAGCTTAGATTTATGGTTTGTTGCATGTGACTATGCTACATTAATTGTTGTCAATAGTAAGCACATGAAATTTATTTATATTATTAAGTAGTTAAATAGTTACACTGTAAAAAGAGTGCTTTAAAATAAGGTGTAGCCAGACAATCTGAAAGTGTAAATTAAATGTTCAATGGGTGTTTTATAGGTGTTTTTGGTTAGAGGTAGGTGTCAGGAGAGATCAATTTTGCCAACATGTCCCAGATAAATCATCACCTTAGAATTCTACGGTTCTATCTGCGTTCTGAATGATTTTGAGATATTGAGCTTCAAAGTTTTTGCATTCTATATAGCAAACAACATGTGTAACGGATCTATTTCATACATTAACATAACAGAGATCCTAAGGGTTCTCTAAATTTAAATTATCAAAGTTCTCTTACATTTGCAAATTGGAGTAAATAAACCACGGTAAATGCAGATAGAACCTTCTCATTCTGAAAAGTCATTTTCCACTTGGAATTTTAAGGTTCTATCTGGCAGATCATTCATTGAAGCATTACTTCATACAATAAAATACAATAAAAATATATAGTTTAGTGTTGTAACAACATGTTAATGCTTGAGAGTTAAAATTTTGCTTTGCGTAACATTTATTTTATGTTTTAGGATGAATATTTTTTTCTTTTAAAATTAAGCATACAAGGCTGTACTAAATATTTTTTCCAGTACAGCTGTTAATTTTATCTAACTAATATGTTCATATTTATTGAATTTTATGCTTTAAATAAATGATTGAATTATATTCATTGAATTATATGCTCCATGAAATAAATTAAGTACTTGGTCTTTAAGGCTTAATATTAAACGTATAGACTTTAAAAGAAACAGACTATGAGCAAATGAGTTTAATAAACACAGAAAAGTGTTTCACTGACTATATATACAAAAATAAAAATATTTCACTTTTAATATACAAATTTTTAAATATTAATTTCTTTTTCAACAATGTAAAATTGAGCATTTCATCTCAACGTTTGCGACCCAGTGGAGCAGTGGGTAGCACGATCGCCTCACAGCAAGAAGGTCGCTGGTTCGAGCCTTGGCTGGGTCAGGTGTTTCTGTGTGGAGTTTGCATGTTCTCCTCGTGTTTGCGTGGGTTTCCTCTGGGTTTGGTTTCCCCCACAAGTCTAAAGACATGCGGTACAGGTGAATTGGATAAGCTAAAATTGGCCATAATGAATGTGTGTGATTGAGTGTGTATAGGTGTTTCCCAGTGTTGGGTTGCAGCTGGTAGGGCATCCGCTGTGTAAAACATATGCTGGATAAGTTGGCGGTTCATTTTGCTGTGGCGACCCCAGATTTAAAAAGGGACTAAGTCGAAAAAAAAATGAATGAATAAATCTTAATGTCAAGAAATGCTTTTAAATCATCACATTTACACACATGTCAATTTTGTGTGGTGCGGCATTCTTTAATTGACTTTAATTGATTTTGTGTGATTTTGTCTTTCTGGTGTTTCCCGCTGTCAATGGAGCAGTCCAGTGAAATGACAAAGAAAGCTTGTGCCTCGTGCATGCATTAAAAATGCTGATTGGCTCACAGGTAGAATCTTATAGAGCCAAGCTAGAGTTCAACTTTGTAGAGACACCTTTTTTGTTTTTTAAATAAAAAGCCTTAAAATGTAAACAACTTATAAAAACACATCCCATAATGTAAATAAGTTGCCATTCAAAAAGAATATGTGAATAACTCAATTTTGACAAAAATGTCAGATAGAACCTATAATTGTAAGGTGACGAAATATTTTACCTCAATATGATTTATTGTATACTCTTCTATAATGTAGCCTTAATACTGAGGTGCAAAATATCTGCCACCATTTCAGCTAAGTTTAAATTGCAAATAAGCGTGGTGCAAATAAAATATATACTGTAGTTTATTTTGTAAATATGTTATTTTGATATCTGCACCTTTTGTAAATGGCAAAATGCCATTTATAATAGCGTTGTATAATGCATATTGCAGCTGACAAAAAAGTTACATGTGATAGCTGTAAGAAATATAGCCGTTAAGAAGAACATTGTTCTTTTTTTCTGATTTATGTTTGCTGTTTTTGACCTTGTTGGTATAGGATAGGATAGGATAGGATGTAGGCACAAGACTATCAGCGGCAACAGAAGAAGATAGTTTCATGAGTTCAGAATCAGATAAACTTTTAGCTGATCTATACAATTACTTACTTACACACTAACAGCTTCTCCTTAGCCTTTACATATTTCAAGGATTCACTGAAATAATTGCATAGACAGTAAGTGTAGCTTCTCTTTTTTTAAATTTTATTTTATTACCTAAAAAATTTGTATGCAGGCAGTTTATTCCGCTGCGGTGACCCCTGATAAAACTAAGCCGAAGGAGAATGAATGAATGAATTAATGAATGTTTTTATACAAAACTGCCTAAATGTGTGCTTCCACTTATTATAGAAAATTTGGAAATTCTGGAAAGAAGTATACCTGCCAACACTCCCATTTTCACTGAGAAAAATGGGATTTTTTTCTCCCGTATTTTACACCCATCTCCCGCCACCCTCCCATTTTGTTATTTCTTCCAGGAAACACCCATAAGGTGTATGGACCAATCTACTTATGAAAAATCACTTTTTTGTCCATGTTTGTCAAGTTGCCAGATCTTGTAGGAAGCTCATCACATTAAATGATATGATTGACTAAATATTCAAATCTCGAAGTATTTTTTTTTTTTACCTCAATCTGGCAACATACATTACAAATCAGTTGAGCTGTTGATTTATGCACAGGTTGTAGACATAAATTTACTGTTTGCTGTGGTTGTGTGTTCAGCTGGCCAATGCTCTGCTAGAGAGAGAGGTGGTGAACTACAATGACATTGAGGCTCTACTGGGGCCTCCTCCATTTGGCCCCAAAAGGATGATTGCTCCTCAGAGCTGGGTGGAGGCTGAACGAGACCTGCAGGACACAGGAGAAGATGAGCCTCGCAGACCCCAGAGACCCTCCAAAGACAACAAAGATGACGACATCAACTTGAGCCCAGCCTGAGCTTCACAACACACACAATGTCTGCAATACCTACACGAAGAGAGAGTGACTGCCTCTGAGGATGAGGCTGATTCACAAAATGTTGCTTTAAGGGAAAAATAAATAGTTTGTGTTGTTTTCACGCTTATTGCTCCAGTCCAGTCTAACTGAAGTGTGCTTAGGCTGATCATTTTGACCAGTAATTCTATTTAAAATGTCTGTAGGTCATTTGATTATGAAACAAAAGCATTTAACAAGCATCGATCAAGCATTTGAGTAGTCCGTCTCTTAAAGAGTTGTTGATTCCTCCTTTGAGAATCGTACAAAATCTGTTTTAAAAACAGTAGCTCTGCTGGTTTTTTTGCTAGACTGAAACATTTGCAGAAGTATGTCTGAAATCTTGTGCTATCAGTCAATTTTCCTCACCATATGTAATAAATTATTACATTTGCTTTTACTGTGTTTATATTGAGCAATGAGATTTATTTTACTATTTTATTGGTTTAAAAGTTAAGTTTTTCTATGATATCAAAGTAGTAGGTTTATGGTAAGTTCAAAAAATCTTCAGGAACTGTTTTTATGCTTATTTATTACTCCATAAAATACTCCTAGAATCAGAAGGTCCATAATTGACCATATATGGATTGTGTTGTGTTAATGAGCTCTACTCTGACACGCACACGCGTGCTATTTATGCTTCACATTGACCAATATAAACCCAATCAGAGTAACGTTAAAGGGCCCCTATTATGGGTTTTGAACACTTTTTTTTTTGTACAGCCATTTTACAATGTAAATTGTGTCAAAGCAGCTTCGCATAGAAGATCATAGTGAATTGAAACAGCGTCAGTCCAGTTTTCAGTGTTTAAGTTCAGTGTGGGTTAATAATCACTACTGAAAGTCCAAGCACTGAAGCTGGTCTTTGATTGAATCAGTGGCGCTGTGTAGTCTGAGGGCATCAGAATGAGTATCCCCAGGTGAAAATAGAGATTAAAGAGAATAATTAGCGTAGCTGCTGTTCATATTGTATATAAATGTGAGCACAGAAGAGTGGAGCACAGTCATGTATCATAAAAAGATAGGCCTTTAATCTAGTTTTGAACTGCAAGAGTGTGTCCGAGCCTCTGACATTATCAGGAACGCTATTCCAGAGTTCATGAGCCATAAATGAGAAGGCTTGACCTTCTTTACTCGACTTTGCTATTTTAGGTACTACCTGAAGCCCTTAGTTTTGAGATCTTAAAGAGCTGGTTGGATTGTAGCGAGACAGAAGGTTGGTTAGATAAACAGGAGCTAGATTATTTGAAGCTTTATAGGTAAGAAGCAATATTTTAAAATCAATACGAAACTTAACGGGCAGCCAGTGTAAGGAGGATAAAATTGGGGTGAAATTATCATATTTTCTAGACCTGATAACTCTGGCAGCTGCATTTTGTACCAACTCAACTTTGTTAAAAGAGGATGCTGGGCAGTCAGCAAACAGCATTACAGTAATCCAGCCTAGAAGTCACAAAAGCATAGCTTTTCTGCATTTGAGATGGATAGCATATAATTTAGCGATATTTCTCAGATGAAAAAAGGCAGTTTTTGTGACATGGGAAATATGATTTTTAAAAGTTAAATTACTGTCTAATATAACACCCAGATCTTTTTATTGTGTAGCTAACGCTAACTTTGTATCCCTCTAATTGCAGGTTGAGTTGTGAGATCTGCTGCGTACAGGTTTTAGGCCCAATAAGTAATAATTCTGTTTTGTCTTCTACGCAGTGTGTAACAGCACTAGGTGAATGAAAACATCCAGCTAAGGTTTAAATCTGAAAGTGCACTGTGTTTAAAACTATTGATTCTATTCAGTCGACTCAGAGTTGAATAAATTAATTGTGTTGGGTTTGGATTTTTTGCCTGAACGCATTGATATCGACACATCACCAAATATGAAGTGCTGGATCAGATAAAATGTGACTTCAAACACTAGCGGAGAGTGGGAGATCATGGTACTGATCATGACACAAAGACAAATTATCATATGGGAGTCGTTGGGATAAGTAGGTAAAAATAAATGCACATTATTAGACAATGAAAGTGTTTTTTGACCTTGCATGCATATCAGCCTGTTGTCAAAGATCCCCAAAACCAAAGTATGATCTGTTGTGGATAAAGGCTAAACTATAATTAAACTTGATAAAAAAAGACTGATAGAGATGTATAGTGTTGTATTTTAAAGCTATAATATCAAAGAAAACAGACTAGAAGAAAAAAGACCAGACAGTTGAGCTAAGTGATCTGACATGATTCAGCAGTCTACATGTGTTTGTTAAAACATACTCATCAAATTTTTCTATAAACACAATCAATTAACAAAGCATACAATTAAACACCTTATAGCTGAATAAACACATAATCAGTAAATCTTGCATTTTGGATCCTGACCCAAGTTTAAACATGCCTAGTGTTGCCAAATAACACACAGTTAACAATCTGGAGTTGCATTTTCAAAATAAAAGTCCCACATACTTAGTAAGTTAAATATAGGCTTTAAATAACTAATGGAGAGAAACTACCATTGTTTTCTCACTAGAAACTGTTGTTACTTATCAAATGCAGTCTGAGGCGTCCATATTAATGATCTTAGAGTTACATATGAGTCTGTGATCTCTTGATGACGTCAGGTCCGGATGAATGACCTAAAGTAGGCATACATGCAAATGGAAAAGGCATGGCCTGTGAGTCTCGTCACAGTTTGTTTTGTCTTCTGATTGGCCAGCTGTGGTTTTACACTTGTGGAATTTACATGATAACGAGTAAACAATGGTGTCTGAGGTTCACGGTATGTCCTTTCCATATATTGATCACTTATTATTTTACTATGCCTTGGGATACCCATATTTCATTACAAAACAATTACTACAAACTGAATCACCATCTATTAAGCTACACAGTGGAACCATTTTATTATTTTATTTAAAACTGTAAAGACAATACAACATTTCTCAAATTCTTATGAAATAAATATTAAAAACTGAACCATGAAGCTCAATATTGAAACACATAATCATAACAGGCATTATGAAAAACCTTCCAGAGGAAGGCAAAACATACAGTATATATACATTTATAAGCACCACACGTTTGACATACTGATCATATTCTGAATATAAAATTAATACTAAAATTAAGGCTCCTTTAATGTCTTGGGTTTACTTTGGAGGTTAAATTGCAATTTAAACAAAAATACAAGCAAATATATTACACAATATACTAGTCATATATATATATATATATATATATATATATATATATAACGATCAAAACTATAGTAATTATATCAAATAATCTAAAATATAAACATTCCTGAATAATCAGTGAGTTAAAAAAAAAGTGATATGATTTTCTTCCATTAAAACACACTAGGAAATGAGTAGCAGAATTTCCAAGCTGTTCTTCTCCTCACATCAAGGGCATATCAAAGAGGTTTTCAAAAAGTCAAATGAAAATCAACACAAAAGTAGACTACATAACACATCCACAATTTATCTAGTCTATTATTGCTTGTTTGCAATACACAAAGACGTGGCAGATGCACAGCAAACAAGAATTTAGAATTTAATTATTTATAAGGGTTTGATTTTATATGTAAATATATATATAAAAGATACATCATTCATTCATTAATTTTCCTTCTGCTTAGTCCCTTTATTCATCAAAGGTTGCCACAGTGAAATGAACCACCAACAACCCTCCATTGCCAATCTGTTCACCCAAAATACATTTAATAATATCTAATCTTTTCTGTTTTAGCAAATATAAACTAAGCCTACCTGCTTGTCATGTGAGAACAAACTTCATTGGTGCTTATGGAGTTTCAGACATGCTGGCGTCGTGACACAAAATGACCCTCTTTTGTTATCGCACGCTAAGCAGATATTTTTTATAATTATTTTTTGCCTAAAATGACTGGTTGTTCAAAACATGTGCCATTATTTGCTTTAATTCTTGTGTTTCCTGTAAAAAAAAATCAACACAATCACAAGGCTTTTTGATTAAGTAGTTCTTTCAGTCATTTATTTTCTTTTCGGCTTAGTCGCTTTATTAATCTGGGTTTCGCCACAATGGAATTATCCACCAATTTATCCAGCATTTGTTTTACGCAGCGGATGCCCTTCCAGCCGCAACCCATTACTGGGAAACCCATACACACTCATTCACACACATACATACACTACGGCCAATTTAGCCTACCCAATTCACCTGTACCACATATCTTTGGACTGTGGGGTAAACCGGAGCACCCGGAGGAAACCCACGCAAACGCAGGGAGAACATGCAAACTCTATACAGAAGCGCCAACTGACCCAGCCGAGGTTTGAACCAGCGACCTTCTTCCTGTGAGGCGACAGCACTTCTTACTGCATCGCCTGATTAAGTAGTTATTTCTCATAAATTTATACGGTCTCATTTGAATATTTTAGCATAATTTGCTCATTTCCCACTGAGGATTGGGTTTAGGTGTGGGGTTTGGAGGCACATGTACTTTTAAAAATAAGTTGTTTTTTTTGCATGAATAAAATTCTATTATTTTTGTACAAATTATCTACATTTCAGACAATACAATGTGAGATCTGCCTTGAAAATACAAACAAATTGTGTACGTTTTTATTTTATTTTTATTTTTTGAACAATAATCATTAGATTCGCAAAATCTTGGAGAGACAAGGTAAGTAGCCTTGAGCTAATGTGACCTAATCATCAGAATGCTGTGAACATTGTTTGGTAATTAGTGATGTCATATTCTTCTGAGACCCCACCCGTTGACATGTGTCCTCTGTAGTGGACATTGAGTTTTCATGAATTTTCTTTGAATTTTTTGAGCTACTCTGTCAAGTCCTGTTGTACTGTTCAGAGGACATCCTGGGTTTTCTAGTGGTATGTCATTTGATTGGCTGACATGCTAGAAACAACTTCTTACACTGCATCCAAAATGGCCGACATACAAATAAAGCACATTTAAAGGTATGTAAAATTAAGCTTTTTAAATGTTTTTTTTTACTGTTATTATTACATATATATTTTTATTAAAGTGTCAGGAGCAATACAGTTAGCTTTCAAAGCTGTTAACTTGTTTGTGTTTCAAAATATCATCCTTTTTTAAATGACAACTATAGTGGTTACCAGGACCATCTTAATGTAATTAATGACTGCATGTTGTAGGAGGCAGAACTGAAGCAGAGAGGATTCTTCATAAAATAGCTGAAGGAGACTCTGATTTAGAGTGTGACAATCAGACGATTAGAGAATTAGAGACAATTAGAGAATGACAACCAGTTTTAAATTGCTTTATGTAAAATTTGTTTTGGATAAACATCAATTCTTTTTTTTTTTTTTTTTTAGTTCATCTCTCTTTCAGACTAAATAGTTTCAAGAATTTTAATTCAAAAGGAAAAAAAATAGCTTTTGTTTTGTTT